GCCGCCGGCAGCCCGGCCGTGCTGCGGGAGGCCGTGGAGGCCGTGGTGAGGAGCTTCGCCAAGCACACGCAGGGCTATGGCCGAGGTGAGTCTGCGGGGTCCCGCCTCCTGCCGGGACGCCCTCTGTACCGAAGCCTTGCTCCCACAGTCCTCTGGATCGCTCTTTCTGGCGCAGAGCCCTCACATGCATTTCCTTTTGGCAAGTTTCCTTCTGGGCTACACACACACACGCAAACGCACACGCACACGCACGCACGCAGACTCACACTCATACACACGTTTAAGCCTCTCACCTCCCCTTTACTGAGTTACTACTATATTCTCCAGGGATCCCTTTTTACAGACACAACCCTGTTTTCTTCCCAACCTTTTCTCCTTCAGAAACGGAATTTCTCCTGCAGCCTAATGACTTAACATCTCTCTGCCTTTGAGGACCAGTCCCGTCGTGTGGGATCCTATCCTTTATCTCAGATTCAAGACGTTTCTCATCCATACCCTCTCAACCTTCTGTGATCTCAGCAATTTCTGGGCTCTCCTGTAAATGTATTTCATCTCTCTGACTTCTTAATTCTTTTCTTATCGTCACTCTGAGATTTCCAATGCAACTTCAGAGTTGCTGGGGAATTCGGTAGTGCCTTCACAAGTCGCTTAGCATAACTGCTTTTAAATCTGGACCCAAACCATTGAACTCACACCAGCTTCCTGTGACTTATACCTCACTTCGAGGGCTTTTTTAGTATGGAGCCTCTCAACTCCGGCCTGTCTGGCTCTGTTTTCCTGGCCCTCGCCCAGGAACCGAGGATAAATCCCAGGCCTTGGCCTCTCAATGTTAAATTCCGTGGAAAAGAGCCAGGGAGCAACCCGATTTCCAACAGAAATCTTCCTCTTAAAGTTGCCTAATTTCTAGGGCTTCTGAGAAGGGGGATTTGAGGATTTTCTTTGTTGTTTTCTGTTTAACCAGTGCAGAATTTCCTGAGTTTCAACTCCAGATTTGTAGTGTAACAAGCAAGGGGGGTGGGATACAAAATTTAGGTCTGGAATTTCTGAGACATCACTTATCTCTGGTTGGCCAGGTCCTGCCTGACCTGAAAGTGACTATATCTTTAACTTTCTAGTTTAATAATAATGTAGAGAAAAGTTCAGGGCTTTCTCTACAGACAGTAATGAGTTGGTTGTGCTTTTGTATTTTTTTTTCTCCCTAAGAAAGTATAGTGAAAAGAGAACAAGCAGGGTTTGGAGTCAAACAAGTCTGGATTAAATCCCAGATTAAATTTCTGTCATTTGCCAGCTCTGTCTTTGGGAAAGTGACTTAACCTCACTGAGCTTTAGTTTTTTCAAAGGTCGTTATGCGGATTAGATGAGATATTGTGCCTGACACATAATGGGTACTTTAAAAATAATGAGTATTATCTCAGATTTATTGGTTCATATTCCTTTGGGAAGAAGATGTCTCATTTTTTCCCACTCTGAAATCTTTACAGTATAAACCCAGAGTCCTATGAAAACAGAGTTTTAGATCCATTTTGTTATATGTGCCCAATGATACACTCACCATCAGCTTCCCTTTGTTCTTCAACAGTCTGAATCCCTACCGTGAGGCAGGCACTCTGCAGAGTGCTGGGAATACAGTCGTGCACGATTCTGAAATTCGTGGTGAGGGGACACAGTTGTTTTCCTAGTTTAAGTCCTGCGTTTAACAGCGGAACTGCCATCAGCTATTGTCCTGCTGCTTTCTGTCTCTTTAAGTTGAGACGAAGGGCAGGTCTACCTCTGGGCATAGGATTAGCCAGGAGTGGTCACTCTGGGTCTGAATCCTTCCTCTTGGAAACTTGCGTGAAAATTGTAGAGGGGTGTTTCCTTTTTCTTGTGTTACCTGGAGAGCCTCTGCTTTGGCTTCTAAACTGAGTGTCCTGTGAACACTTTTTCATTTCCTTCGAAAGGATGAGGAAACAAGGGGACTGTACTGACAAAGAGCAATCAGTCAGGCTTCAGACTCTGTGCAGTTCTTTCTTCCTACCTCCCTACCTCCCACCACAGTGCTTCTCATTAGTTTTGAGTTTCTCATTTCCAGTCTGGGTGTCCAGCCAGTACTTCGGGAGAGTTTGGCAGATAGTTCAGCTTCAGGCAAGCAGAATCTCTGCCGATTTGGCTCAGAAGCCCTTCACCACATGGAATCACTTATTTTGCTTCGATTAATAGGCAAAACTGCCGTTGGCATGTACCCACATACCCTTGTGACTGATGGTGTGGTATTTAGGGGCTGGCTCTAGTCCGCTGAATATAATTTACTCTGGTCCTTGCCCAGTCCACCCTCTGATCCGGCAGTGCTTTGCTGCATCATCTTCAGTTCACACCCTTCATCACCTTCTTACTGCTTGAAATTCACCTTGGAAGAGTCACGGTCTTCAGCTTTACCTCCACTCATGTAGGATCTCAGCATCTACACAAACAAAACAAGACACAACCTCTTCTGTTATTTCACCTGTTTGTCCTGTATTTCCACCACCACCCCACCCCCCCAAATCCCTGCCCAAGATACACACATAGCTCAGTACGCTGTAGCATCTTAGAGAACCTGGCCCTGTCAAATAATGGCTGTGTGATCTTGGATAAATTGCTTAGTCTCTCTAGGCTTCATCTGTTCTATTTATTCATCTAATGACTATTTCTTGATCACCAGCTGCAGCAGTAAACAAGACAGATACTCAGTCCCTACCTTCATGGAGCTCACAGTCCACTTCCCAGAGCATGTGTGAGGTTTAATGGTGAGATAAAGCAGGATAATACAATAGAAAGAGAGTTGGCTTTGGAGGCAAACAAACATGGGTTCTAAATCCTGGTTCTGCCACTGTGGCCTGTTCCTTAGCTCACCGACGTTTTGTAGAATGGATGTTATAATACCTATCTTGATAGTTTCGTGCGGATTAAATGAGATAATGAATGTAAAGCATGCAGCACACAGCACTCAGTAAGGGTCACTATTACAGTGCATTTGGAAACGCTTCGAAAGCTGAGCATATGAGAGGTGCTATTAGCCTCACCGTTTCCCTTGCCCCTTTCTTCTATGTGGCGTATAGTCCCCTTCTAATATTTGACGTCTGGAAATCTCCAAACTGCCATGACTGACTGAATGTCTTTCCTCGCTAGATAACTTCTGCATTGCCCTATTCAAACCTATTTTTTTTTTTTGAAGTATTCCTCTCCGTTTATATCATAATATGGTTCTGTGATTGGAAATTCCGCCCAGCTTTCCACTAGGTTGAACAAGTGAATCTGGTGCTATTTTCTGTCTAGTTGTTCCTTTTCCTCAAAACCACAGACAGCTTCTTTGCCTGTAAGTGACCGTGGAGTAAAATTGATTGATCTGAATATTTCCAATTTTTGGAATTGGAAATATTAGTTTCCTGTGGTTGCTCTAACAAATTACCCCCACTTTGGTAGTTTAAAACTACAGAAATTTATTCTTTTACAGTTCTGGAGGCCAGAAGCCCTAAAATCAGTGTGACTGGGCCAAAAGTAAGGTGTCAGCAGGTCTGTGCTCCCTCCGGAGGTGATAGGGGATGATCTGTTTCCTTGCCTCTACTAGCTTCTGGTGGCTGCCACCATTTCTTGGCTTGGGACTGCATCACTGCAATCTCTGCCTCCACGGTTACCGCCATTCTCTTCTTCCGTTTTTTTTTTTTATCAACTATCCTTCCCTAAGGATATTTGTGATGGTATTTAGAGCCCACTCAGATGATCTGGGATAATCTCCCCATTTTATGATCATCTGACACCTGCAAAGTTTGCAAAGTCTTTGCTACATAAAGTAACATTCACTGGTTCTAAGGATTAAGACGTGGACATCTTGGCAGGGGGCATTTTTCAGCCCACCTTAGTCCTTTCCCAAAGTCACTGTCACTTTGCACTCAGGGGTACCTTCTACAAACGGGAATAGAAAATATCAGATAAAATACTGTTCACCAGCTTCTCTGTTTTCATAACGATAATGTGAATTAAGCCGGGCCAGCCTATTCTCACCATCTTTCACCACAGAGAACCTTCTCACTCACTCCCCGTTCCGTTATCTGTTTACTATCCATCCGTGCTCTTCCACTACAAGATTATGTTCATTTTTACGACATCAAATTTTGACTGTAGTTTTCTATATTGTTTTAATGTTTTTACTCTGGCAGATATGCAATCTGTACCTTTCGCCCCACTCGGACATTCATCTAATATTTTATCTCCTAAGAGCAAAACCAAAATTATTCTCTTTTTGTCGCTGTTCAGCATCATGGTACAAGTAATTAATATTCCTCACCCTCTCAGTCTTTCTTGTCCCTGTTAGCTCAGCAGCCATCAGCGACTTCCAAAACGCCACTGGAGCTGTCAGATGTGTATGTGTCATTGCTCGCCTCCCACCTCGCTGTTCTTTTATTTTTTTTACAAAATCAATATGACTTTTTTATGACACTGAAGTTCAATTTTATCAAATAGGTACATGAGACTCACTGTTCTTTAACCATCCTTATAGAAACCATTATATCTATGGTTTCTCACTGAAAATCTTTTAAAAACTGTGGGCACGACCCTCCCCCCCCCCATAAATATTCGTATGTGCACACATAATTTTCTTAGAGTTTTCGGGGACTTTTGAACCCCCTCGAAGCTCAACCATAGACTTGACTTTGGGCCCTGGATTAAGGTTCCCAAACTGAAAAAACACTGGCATCAGGATATCTACATTCCTGCCCCGTCTCTGCCACAGCTGTGTGACCTGAAGCAAATCACTTACCCTTCCTTACGGGCTAAGATGATTTCTAAAGTCCCTTTCAGCTCTAAAATTGAATGTGTCCGGGAGCATGTTCAAATACAGATCACAATTAATTTCTTTTTTCCCGGAGCTTTTGCCCAATTTTCCATTTCATGTTTACATTTCTGAAATAAGGCTCCCTATTTCCTGTGGCTTTGAGTAATCATTAAAAAATAGTCCCGTACTCTGTGTCAAAAGGAATTTGACTGGATGAAGAATGGACGTATGCTTTTTAGTGGGACCTTCCCCATTATATGTTCTCCTCCCCTTCCTCTTTATTTCAATATTCTCCCTATTGTTCGCATGTCAAGAGAGCTGTCATCCAGCGCATTGTGCTAAATTGTCTCAAAGAGGGAACTGGGGCTGAAAAGATCTCAGTGGAAAGAACAAAGATGGCTGAGCTTTCTGGGCAGCAGTGACCCTCGAGGAGCCCCTGCCAAAACTAAGGGTGGGAAAGAGAGTTTCCTTTTCATGCTGTCTTTTAATGGAAGAATGAACATTCTAAAGTCAGTTAAATATAGGGTATTAGAAAAGAGCTTATGCTGCCTTTCAGAGACCGGCTGGTACACGGGGTGCTTGCTTCAGCTGTAGAGCAGGTGAGATAATAGTTATTATTGGCCACTAGATTTTTTTAAACACCTTGCCAGGAGAGAACACGTATTATTTATCTTTGCATCCCTAATGGCTAGAATTGAGCTACATACCTATTATGTGCTCATATTTTTGCTTAATGTTTGTGTGGCAACCATGAAAACGTGCTGCTGTTCATATCTCCCGGTGCAGGGAGCTTAATTGACGGACAGCCTTGAGCTGCTGTCCTCTCTAAGTCCATCACCACATTTGCCCTGAGGCTACACATCCTGCAGGCTGCTCCCAGACAGTGACAGAGCTCAGCAGGGGTGCTAACTCAGGCATATCCTGGCGAGAGGTGGGATCCCTGTGGCTCGAGGACTTCCCACTCGCCCGGCCAGAACTTTCTTGGAACTGCACTGCAGTCTCATATTCAGCCTCCTTTTTTCTCTCTCTTCTCCTGCAAGGTGCCAGACCTTCGGCATGGGCTGAAGCCTCTCCCTTCTCCTACTTCCTCCCCAATAAATCTCTTGTATGTCTGTCTGCCCCACGTCGGTGTCTTCTCCTTGGCAGACCTGAACTAACACAATTTAAAAGGATGAATGAGGCCTTGTAACTGAGAGTGGAAAGTAATCATGCCGGAAGATACTGGAGAATGCTTGTGATAACTTAGGAGGCTTTAGTTAAAGCCATTTGAAATGTTTGGAGCCCTTGAGTCAAAGTGATCGTTTCCAAAGGCGAACTGCTATCTCCCCTCCTTCCATGTATAACCCTTCAGTGGCTTCCCTTTGCTCTTCGGATGCAAGGTTATTTTTGAAGCACACCAACATGGCCTGCAAGGTCTGACCTGGTCTCGCCCCGCTTCCTTTTGCAGCCTCATCTCGCATTACACTTCCCCTCATGCTCTCTTTTCTAGCCACACTAGTCCCTTTATTCACCATATTCCCCGCTGCTGCAGATCCTTTGTACATGCTGTTCCTTCTGCTCAGAGCACTGTTCTCTCACCTTTTTGCCTGCTGAATTCAAATTCGTATCTAAGAATATCACCTCATCAGGGCGGCTTTATCTGGACCTTCTTAACTAGGTCAGATGCTCCTGCAACATTTCTCACCATCTAGCGCTCCTTTATAGCACTCACCACAGTGGCTACCTTTCATTTGTTTGAGGTGATTCGGTTAATATCTCTCTTCCTCGTTAGACTGTAAGGTACATAAAGGAGAGGAACAGTCTATGGTTTCGCTCACTATTGTAGCCTAGCATCCAGCACAGAGTCTAGCACAGAGCAGATATTCGATACATATTTGTGGAATGGTTGAGCCCAAGTATTGGGGGATGAGGGGAACTGTCCTGGAATACAGTGTCAGGTCTGGCGTTTGATTTCACTCTATCTAAAACCAGTAAGTTAGCCGGTTACTGTTGCATGGATGCCGGCAGAAGTCAAGAGACTTCTGGGTCGGAGACAAAGGACTTTATTACTCAGAGCACGACATGAGCATCATGTCTGTTTGCATCGGTTCCCCTTGCCTCCCAAGTCCAACATGGAGGGCTCGGGTGGACACTTGCACAGGCCATGGGTTGCGTTACAGGAGAGGGACACTGAGCTTGGGAAATCTGCCATTTGACAGCAAGCAGTAAGCAAGCTTGTTCTTTGTCTCAGAGGGATACGTTATCTCATCTGTCAAGGGTTCTTGCTGCAAACACAATCCTGAGAAATGGCCCAAGTACACAGCAGTCAGGGCCTTGACGTCTTGGCATACCCAGCAAGGTGGAAAGGCGCTCAAGACCTGCGGAGGGTCGTCTCCCAACACACGGCTCCTCCAGAAATTACTTATATCCAAGGCAAGCCTCAGAAGAGAAATTCGTTTGTCTCCTTCTTTCCCTTCTGCCCACACCCTCTCCCTCCCCCTCCCTCCCCCATCCTCTCTCTCCTCCTTCCTCTTACATAGTGTACACATAGTATTCCAGGACAGGAAAGGAATCTGGCCGTGGGTTTGCTCACCAGAAGCATAGGCTTGAGAATGGCTAATAGGATCACATTTCCTTGAGTGGCAGTATAGTGCGATGGTTAAGGACACTGACTCTGGAACCAATGCCTGGGTTTGAATTTGCGCTCTGCTACTTTATAGCTATTACATCCTTAGGCTGTTACATCCTATAGCTAGTACATCTCTGCCTCCCTTTCCTCATCTGTGAAATGGGGACAATAAGAGTACCTGCATCATAAGGTCGTCGTGATTAAATGGGTGACACACAGCAAGTGTTCAGGAAATGTTCGCTCTCATTATTGTGGCGGTGATCTACTTGCACTTCCTCAGGCAGGGATAATGGCCTGCCGACCTTGGAAACTCTGCCTCCAGTATTTCAGTTATTCCCCTTCGGTGTCCAGGACTAATCAAAACGTGAAGTGGAGAGGTCGGGGAGGAGGGCAGGCACACTCTGGTCTTCCTATGCAAATGGCTTAATCACAGTCTATGTTTATTCATCATTAACGGCTTTTAAATGGTAATGGGCAGGGAGCTGAGGAAGGTAGACTCTTGACGTAGGCGCGTTGAAGCAGAGCACCGCTAGGAGGCGCTCTCCTTGCTGAATGCATTTCTCTTTTCGCAGTGAACGTGGTGGAGGCGCTGCAGGAATTCTGGCAGATGAAGCAGTCCCGTGGGGCTGACCTGAAGAATGGGGCTCTAGTGGTTTATGAGATGGTCCCCTCCAACAGCCCTCCCTATGTCTGCTATGTCACCCTGCCCGGGGGAAGCTGCTTTGGGAGTTTCCAGGTAAGAGCTGCGAATCAGCAGGAGCCCAGATAACTGCTTAGGTGCCCATAATGGCTTTCTCCATCACTTTGGCCATTAAATCTCTGTTTGAAATCACTCATTTGAAGGCCGGAACCAAGTCTGGGCAAATCATTCTGGAAAGCATCCGAGGCTCATCTGACCACAAAAAACCTCACCCTGCAAAACCTCAACCCCACTTTCCATTTGAGCAGTTATGAAGATGCCTCCTCAGCGTCTCAGACTACTAGCACCTTACCCATGTCCCGATATGGCTTTCCAACTTCCTGCCATCTCCTCTGGAGGACACAGAATACTATTCCTTGACCCCAGTACTTTTTCATAGGCAACTACTGAGAAAAGCAATATTTGAGTTCTCGAAGAGACCAAAGGGGAGGGACTATGTTCGGTGAAAATAGTACCCATCTAAGAGTTAGCAGATCCAAATTCTCATTCCCCTGACTGCCAGCAGGGCACGTCAGGTAACTTCTGTGGGCCTCAGTTTCCCCACCTATAATATCAAAGAGAGAGGTTAGATTATTTCTAAAGTCTTTCTAGTGCTAGCACTCTGCAGTTATATGAGAGACCTGTAATATGTGGTGATGAAAAGAGCTTGTTACTGTAGGATAATGGGAAGTTTGACTAGTGTGAATATTATCGTCAAAGATGGATTCTTTACGTTGCAGATAGGGAGGCAGCCTTCTGAAATGTCAACTTAGAGTCTCGGTGGGAATTTAGAGAATAGACACTTTTGTTCTGTTTTCCAAGCAGTTTATATAACCCTTAGACAAAGTTATTACCCCTGCTATATGTACCTTGAACTTCCCCTCAGATCACTTATCACAACTTACGTAATTGATTGTTTCTCTCTCCCAGTAGATGATGCTCTATGGATGTAGAAATAGTGTCTGTCTTCTTCCTTGTTCAGTTTTAAATCCTAGCACAGAGTAAGCACTTAATAAATCTGTTGCGTGCATGAGTGCCATCACAGCTCAGTTCCTGCCTCGAACACCAGCAGTCTTAGGGAAGCCTCATTTCAGATCAGGTGACTAAATTTTTTTCCCTCAGAACACCAGCCATTCGAGAGAAATAAATAGGTGTCCAGGATGAGTACTGTTTACGCTTTCTCTTCTAGAGAATAAGATCATTCCTTTCTTCTCCCACCTCATCATATTGTTGAGTAAGGACTTGATTATTTTATGGCGATGCCCAAAGTTCGACCATTATAGTAATTTGCTCTCCGTTATTTCCTGAAAGAGTAGAATTACTTGTCATGGCCCCTTTCAGTTTCTCTCTTCTATATTCACTTTAGAGCATGTGAAATTTCTCCCGGTGGTTTTCTTAATAGATAATTTTTTAGAAATGGCACTATGTAGTAGAATGGGCAACAGGCTAGTAAATAGAGAAACAGAAAAATTGAAGAAGCAAGAAGACCTAATTAGGGTTAAGGTACCAAGCTTCATATGCTGTCTCGGAGAGACCTGTCAGTCAAAGGAAATTGAGAATTATTGATATTAAGGATGGTTAAGTACCAAACACATCCTGGTCTGCTTTTTAAAACTACGGCATCACTTTCTTCCTTTCCTCTGATCCTAATCGTAAATGACAGAGGGCACAGAGGCCTTCGAAGCAGCCAGTGAAGATGAATTATAAAGGAATCCCATGGTGCCTAGGGATTTGAACTTGAGTGATTGAAGACTTCTGAAATTCAGATTTGTTCTGTTATACCTATGTTGGATACAATGTAAAAACATGAATTTTTAATTTTTTTCATGCTTTCCTCGAGTCATCTTTCCTTCTCTTAGCCAACCCTGTCCTCTTTGCTTCCACTGGGGGAAAAAAAAAGACTATAGATGCCTTCTTTAGACCTTAGACTCTGTTCAGGGATAGCGCCTTGGCTCACTATGTTATTGGGGGAACTGCCTGCTCACAGCAAAAAGCAAAGTCCAAGAATCCCAGATGGGTGCTTCTGATAAAGACTCGCGGTCTCCTCTGCAGAAGCAGCCTAGACACAGTTTTGTTCTAATCTTGGGTTATCTAGAGGAATGAAAAAAATCTTGCCTGTCCACAGAACAAGAAAACAAGATACAGATTTCTATCAGGCTGGCCAGAATCTGGCTTTTGAGTAATTAATTCTGTTGACAGTTAAAACAGGGCTATTTTTCCTATCCAGTGATTATCTGCTGACTTCAGCAGCCTTCCTCATTCTGCATTCAACTTGGTATGAGCTAGAGCCATCTCCAGTTCCCTAATGATTTCAGGATGTTGAATCAGACTTATGTTTCCAAATGTCTCGACCATTTTGCAATAAAAACTTTGGAGCTTGTGTTGAACAAAACTGATTTATCCAAAGAGTGTCCAAGTGTCTTCCATCCCAAGTGTTTCGCTCCCTATGTTCCTTCTCTCTCTCAGATGCGCATATATACGTATTTTCTCTCTCTTTCTCTCTCTCCCCTGCCTAGTTTTGCCCCACAAAAGCTGAGGCCCGGCGGAGCGCTGCAAAGATTGCACTAATGAACTCTGTGTTTAATGAACATCCTTCCCGAAGAATCACTGATGAGTTCATTGAGAAGAGTGTCTCCGAGGCCCTGGCATCTTTCAACGTAAGTTACTTGGAGTTGGAAGGAAGGCGAGTGAGGATGGGAGAAGTGGCTGGTTGGGAAGTGTTGTATATTATTGGGAAACAGAGCATGGATTCTTGTTTTCTTTCCTGTCTACATCTCTGTTGTTTTTTTTTTCTTCTCCATCAAGCTTTTGTATTACTTGCTGTATATGTCTCAGTCTCTAATTCTATATGTGTCTGTTTTTACTGTTATTTGTCTCTTTGGTATCTAGAAACCTCTGTGTCTCTTTGATCTAGAAACTTTTAATACAAGATTTATGGAATTTTAGAGATATTCCAAAATAAAAATTGAGCTTAAATTTTGCTTTCTCCAATTTTGATTTAAGTCTTTAGTCCCTTGTTCCTTCACTGATCTTTTATTTGACTTTTTACTGTCACTTGTCTCTTGCCTCCATTACTTCATCTTATTAATAAAGCACACTTTATAATACAGTGTCTTGTCTTTTTTCATTTCTAGAAATGGGGAGGATAATTTACTTACTCTCTTTAAAAAGAACATCTTTTCTTTGGAATGATGACGATGATGGTGATAGCCATAGCTAATCCTAATTGAGCATTTACTTTGTGCCAAGGACCGTTCTTGGGATTTATATGTATTTTATCTCATTCGATCCTCACAATGGTCCTATGAGGCATCATACCATTATTACCCTTGTTTCACAGATGAGGAAGTTAAAAACACCGAAGTGAAGTTTTCCCTAAAGCGACAGAGCTAGTAAGTGGTAGAGCCAAGACTGGAACCCAAGGTGACTTACAGACTTCTCTAGCGTAGGGTACACCTTAGAAGTTAACACCGTCTTCTTCCGCCCTACCCACTCCCTCCCCCACCACAAGTTCATCGACAGAGTTAGACCAATTTTCTGTTTCTGCTCTCTTTGCGTTTCAGATGTAATTACATATACTAAACTGCTTCAGTTATCTGTTTTGTGGATTAGTGTTGAATACTTTAAATTATAAAGTATTCATCTGTTTAAAGGATCCATCTGTTTTTCTCCCATCGCTTTTTGCCCCAGTCAGCAGTAACTGCAGGGCATAAAAACATTTTTATATTAATCAAAGCCAATTAAAATTAAGAAAGCACATTTGTCATTCTTGTCACCTAATGTATTGTAAAATGAAACATTAGTTTGGATTATAGAAAGCAGTGGTTATGAACGTGGGCTCTGAATCCGTTATTTTGAAATTATGGTTCTACTGTCTATGTGACTTTGAGCAAGTTACTTATTCTAAGTCTCAGTTTCCTCATCTGTAAAATAGGATAACAATTATACTTATCACATAGGATTATTGGATAAAAGAACATATTCAAGCCCTTAGCACACGTTATGTATTTAGATGCCTTTGGATGCCAGTTATAGAAAACCTCATTTCAAATTGGCCTAAGGAAATAAATAAAGGAACTAAATGTATTATCTAACATGGACAGGAAGCCCAGAAGTAGGGCAGGTTTCAGGGCTGGCTGCATCCATGGATCAAGAACGTCATTATCTACTGGCTCAAATTCTTTCCATCTCTCCACTCATCCATCCTCTAGGTACCAGCTTTGTTCTTGGACCAGCTCCCCTCAGGGTGCAAGGTGGCTACAGAATTCTAGACATCAAACACAGACAAAACTACATTCAGAAACTGAACAAGACCATCTTTTCTAGTGTCTCTTTAGTAGAAAAGAATCTTTTCCCAGAAGCCCTCCCACAGATCTCCCTTCTACCTCCCAATGGCCAGGATTCCCACATTAAAACCAATTTAAAAAAATAACAACAAAAAATTACAGGCAAAAGCGATTGAGATTTACGCACTGAGTTAGGATAAAATCACTCTTCCCATAAGCACGTGGGAGATGAGGAGACACTAGAATGAGATTAAGTAAGGAAGAAGGAAATAGATGTTGGGTAGGTCACCAGCAGCATCTACTACAAAGTGTAAGTATAGTTCAAGTAGAGAAATGTAAACTATTATTATCATGCTGCTGTTCCTCTTCGATTAACCCCCAAATTGAGAACTTACTGGATTTCTCATTAATATTCCTATATAATCCCCGCTCTTCAGAATAACAATTTTCATCTGGTCATAGCCATGGGTAAAGAGCGATGCTCATGTTCTTTGCTTTCAGATTTTGTTCTTTAAAAGTCCTGAATCTGACACTATGGTATACTATGCTTTTTTGACAAATCACCTAGCCTCTGTGGATCTGAGTTTCCTCATTTGTAAAATAAGTAGGTTGAATTAAATTAACTCTAATTCCTTTCCAGTTATATTCTAATGTTCCTACCACTTATCAAGTATTCTGTGATTAAATGTCTATTGAATAAATGGAGTTCATTTATAACTGTTTGGCGTAGTAGTGTTGATATGAGGTAGAACTTCCCAACGGGTGGGTCATGCCACTCAGATGTTCCATGCTATTGATCCCCTCAGCTGTCAGGGAACTGAGCAAGGCCTGAGGCAGATGGACTGCTCTGCCCCACAGCCTCTGTTGGCAAGCTGCTCTGCCAGCAGCCTCCTCTGTATACCCCAGTTGGCTGTACAGACATGATCATTTTCTATGTGCCGTATCTTGGAAAATCTTGGAGGTATTGAATAAGGTATAATAGTGAACAATTATAGGCAAAAATGAAAATGGCGGCTTGCTTCAGAGCCCTAAATCCTAATAATGAAGTTTCCGTTTTTTCTTCCTCCCTCTAGCATTTCACTTCTAAATCCAAATTTTGAGATCTTTGCTTCACCGTGAAGATTAATGACATGTGGCATGGTTTTTTCTCATGAGCCACAAAACAATATGGGTTGATCTTGAGTAGTTCTGACCTCTTGTTGACTCTAGTGCAGTGAAAACAAATAATAATAATAAGCCAGCACTTATGGTGTACTTAATAAATGCCTGGCATTATTTTAGGTGTGATACATATACAGTAAAACCCTATGATGAAGTGCCCCCCAATAAAGTGAACTTGATTATAACTTCATTGGCTCCTGACCTCTACCCTGTCTCCTTTCTCAAAGAGAGCAGAATAAAGTTCTTGGGAGGTGCTGTGGGGGTTGGGAGTTGGGGGGATATGGTGTGGAACTGGCTAAAAGAGCAGGCGAGTTCTCAGGAAGCAGGAGGAGAAAGTTGGGTCCCTGTGTTCCCAGTAGTGTCCTGGCCTTATTTCCCCTGATTAGGTTGACAAAAAGGTCACCAATAAACCAGGAGATACCCTTATTTTGGAAGTCTCAGCCAGCCCCAGGATTTGGAATTATCCTCAACAATATTAAACCAGCACCAAATAGCACCAAACCAGAGCCAATCCCAGAATGGATTTAAATGGTGTAACTGGCCACCGGGTCCAGAACAATAAGGTGCCCATAACTTATATGATTGGAGTTTTTAGATATTTAACCTTTTTAAAATTAAAAGTGTTTTATTTAATTCTCGAAACAATCCTATAAGGTAGATCTATGATTATTCCCACTTTACAGATGAGGAAACTGAGGAGCAGAAAGGTTAAATGACTTCACTAAGCCCACAGGACTAGTAGGAGCTCCAGTCCAGGCTCTTAACTTCTCCACTGTATTGTTTTTTGTACACACTAGGCTTGCAAGTAGGACATGTCTCTTAGTTCTACTCCTGCAAGGTCGTGTCACCAATGGAAGACACACAAGGCAAATGTGCAGGAGGCCAAACTGCTACCCAGAATTTGCCATGCTTGTGGCTCCTACTGCGTCCCTTTAAAATGCATTTGCCCGCTTGTCCTCTAGGTTAGTCCACCCCCACATGCTAAACTCACTGTGTTATCTTGGCTAAATTGGGGCTCTTCTCCATGTCTCAGTGTTCCCCATTTAAAAATAAGGAAAATCAGACGGACCTTTCTCTATCACCCCAGTTCAGATGCGTGGTGACTGGAATCCTCTAGGTCTGTGCTCATCAGTAGAAGAGTCACTAGCCACATATAGCTAGTGAGCACTTGACACGTGGCCGGTATGAATTAAGATGTGCTGTAATCGTGAAAGCGATATCAGATTTTGAAAATGTAGTACAAGAAAAAGAATGTAAAATATTTCATTAATAGTTTTTATACAAATTACAGTTGAGATACTATTTTGAATATATTAGGTTAAGTAAAATATGCTAGTAAAATTAATATGTTATTATATTAACTACATTTCTATTGGGCAGTACTGCTTGAGCTGATAATCCTGACTGAAAATCTATTTCTCTTTTCCTTTCCCCTGTTACCAGGGCAACAGGGAGGAAGCTGACAACCCAAATACAGGCATTGGTGCCTTCCGATTCATGCTGGAATCCAACAAGGGCAAGTCAATGTTGGAGTTCCAGGTACGATTCCGCCTACTTCCCTGGCTCTAATAACATGTGTCAGCGTGTGTGAGTGTGTGCGTATGCGCATGCCTCCTCCTCATTCCTAACGCATTGATACTCAAACATGTGTCAGCGTGTGTGAGTGTGTGCGTATGCGCGTGCGCACGCCTCCTCCTCATTCCTAACGCATTGATACTCAGTTGGAAGGGAAGGGAGAGAAGGCTGTTAGAATATTTTTCAAAATATACATACCTTCCTTCCCCCAAGGGCATATACGAGTTGGTATAAGAGATGCCTCCACAAATACATTTCGTAAAATGGAATTCCGATGCAACGTCCCCCATACAAAATCACTGTCCTGGCTCTCCATGTTTTCTTCCTCCAGGAGTTAATGACAGTTTTTCAACTCCTGCACTGGAATGGCAGCCTTAAGGCCATGAGGGAAAGACAGTGCTCTCGGCAGGTAAGAGATAATTGTGGGTGAGAGGAGTTGGGCAGAAGACTATTTTGAGGTGGCTGATGTGTCAGGAATAAGCGGGCCTGTGGACACCAGCTGGTGAATATTGACAGCCTCGCTTAAAGTGCCCTCTTCACTCCTATTATCTTTCCTATTTAAACCTCAGCTGTGATTCTTTTGCCGGCCTGGCTTCCCCCACCAGGACGGTTCCCTTAAGAATCTTCTTAGAGACTTCTGTGCTGACTGCAGTTAGGACCCCAACGCTAAGAGTTCCTAGTCCCAGTTAAGTCACTGTGCTATGAAACTTCACCTTGTCGGTGACCTTCACATTCCTCTCCTCCTCCAGGAAGTGTTGGCTCATTATTCGCACCGGGCCCTGGATGATGATATTCGCCACCAAATGGCATTGGACTGGGTGAGCCGGGAGCAGAGCGTGCCAGGGGCGCTGTCCAGAGAGCTGGCCTCCACTGAGCGGGAGCTGGACGAAGCCCGGCTGGCAGGCAAGGAGCTGCGCTTCCACAAGGAGAAGAAGGATATTCTCATGCTGGCTGCTGGGCAGTTGGGCAACATGCATTCTTCCAACTGCTAGGCGTCCACCCACCCACATACTCCCTCCCCATCCTCTTCAGGCCTCTTTTTATATGTTCTTTCTAAGACTTAGTGTGATTTCTGTACATACTTTCTCAATTTTATACTTTAAAATATAGATATATATATATATATGTATAAATTCTACACCTGGATTCTTATTTGCTGAGAGATCCCTTTTCTTACTTCTAGTTTTCCGATGTGGTTTCATTTGAAACATCTCCACTCCACTTTACAGGAAGAGCAGGCTGTCCTGGGAGCTGTTGGCTCTTACACTCCCAGTAATTCTGCATAGTCATTTCAGTAACACAAGACGATTGACTAAGGGTTTATGTCTCCTTTTCAAATAACAGGGAGCAATAAATTAAATAATAATAATAATAACAATGGGGAGCTTGA